CTGCTTGTACAACTACCTGGAGGGTCAGCAACCCTACCCTGGGCTAGCCCCACAGCTCCCCATAACACCTTCAACTGTTCACACAGCCTCCAGAGATGCCTCAGCCATAGGAGGAAGTGAACTGTACTACCCCAGAAAAGATGAGTAAAAGGTAAAAAGTACTTTATTAAAAGCTGAAACACAACATTAAATACACAGTAACACATAGACAAGATCCTGCTTGAGTTCAGGTAGGAGTTAAGAAATAAGAGGTTGTGCTAGATTCCAGACGACGGAAGAATGCAGCTGTTTAATAATGCTTATCTTGCTGTTTTGACTGCTGGCATATTTGTTCTTGATTGCCTGCAGAGAGAGAAGTTTGATTGTTTACCGTGTTCATAAACTTACATTGTTCCAGGTCACCTCGGGTTTAGTGATCAAGACAAGCCCATCCTAGCACAAAAAAACAGTTAATGGCTAGCTCATGCCACTTCATAGAGATAGAGATCTTCAGCAGAAGTGAGCAGGTCCAATCCAAGTCTGACAGCAGTAGCTCAGCTAAGCCAGCGTCAGAAGCACCACGTATTTACACTTAACCACACATACTCCCCCACCTGGCACCACGAGATTCTTACCACGTGCTTCATAATGCCCTCATTCACCAGAATTATGTTCTTTGCTATATGCTGCATAACTGGGAGAAGGTCACTCTCCGTGTAAGACATGTAGTGTTGCAGTGTTGGTGTCTGAAAAGAAGGGGAGCCATTAGACAAGCCTGGGGAACGTAACAGGAGATTGGCCAGGAGCACTGTAAACACGCTCAAGCAACTTGCAGCTGGGGTGTCAAAAACCACACACATCACACCAGTAATTGTTTTTTTAGTCTTATGTGCTTGACGAGTAGAGCATCTGCATTCAGATAACACAGGCCTGTGACAGACTCGGGGGCACCCTGAACATGCCTGGGATTCCTGCCCTGCTGTGAGAAAGATCAAAGCACAGTGGAAAAACTAGGGCCTGTGAAAGAAAAATCCCCGATATATACGGGCGAGAGCAGCAGGTTCGGGATCTCTCGCTCCAGCGAGGACCCAGCTCTGCCGTGCCTGCGTCCCCGCTTACGTGCCTCTGCCCCGGGTGCTGCTGCCGAGACCCCCTGGTTTGCGAGGTAACAAGAATACATTCTCTTTTTGCATTTTACCCATGGTTTTTGTGGTTGTTCCTGTGCCCTGCCTGTGTCAGCTCACACACAAGCCTACTAGAACAATTTGAGTACATTGGGTTCTTTGTCCCTGAACAGTTGCTCGGGCAATTGTGGTCTTCTGTCTCACAGGGAGAGTTAAGAGCTACTGCCCTACTTCTGTCCCCTTATGATGGGCCACAGAGAGACAAGAACATGCTGAGATACCACAAGGGAAGCAGAAGGCATGCACTTAGCCCAGAGTGGCCTTAAGCTGGTGCACAGGCACACCAAGTACTGAACGAGCAGGTGATCTGACAAGCATGACTTACCCACTCGCATCCACCGAGGAGTTTCAGAGCTAAACAGGAAGCAGCTGCTGCAGTCTTGGATGGAGGGAAGTGAACCATATCATAGTCCACAATGGACAACTCCATCAGGTACTTGGCCAGAACGTGCTGTTCAAAGTCCACCTGCAGTAAGTCAGAGTTGAGTATTGGCTATCTCCAAGGCAAGAGCATCTCATCAAGCCTATGTTTAGTTGAGCAAGAAGAAGTATGTCCTTAGTCAACATTTTCAGGGCTATAGGCTTCAAATTCAAGTTGCTTAATCACAGAGCAGTTCTGAGCTGTATCAGGCTGCTCGTAGTCTAGGACCACTCTTTTCAACAGCAGTTTAGCAGTTACCTGCAGTGCCAGGCAAGCATTTTAACTCTGGTTTTGAGTGGGTTAGACTCACATGACTGAAAGCAGATAAACAAGACCTGTTTCTACATGGGAGACTGGCCTTAACCAGGCTCAGCTGCTGAACTGCTGCAGTACTTGAAAGCTTTGAACTTTTTAACAAGCTGCCACAGTAGAGTATCGCATTTTCTAGATGCTGCTTACTGCAACACCTGTTCTCAGCATTACCTCTGCAATCTTTGAAGCCCTCCTTAGGAAGTGTGGAGGGAGAGGGTGACCCACTCTGAAGTCCAAGGCTTGCAGGATATTCATCTCCATCTTGCGTATTTGCAAGTTTGTGTAAGTGTGATCAGTTACGTAGGCAAAGTCTCCAATATTTGGGGGAAAAACCTCTTCATATTTGGTGGCAATGAACATTGCTGTGACACCAACTAGCTGCAACATCCTCTTGGAAACAGCATTGTTCTGTAGTAAGAAGCAGTAAGAGATTTATCTGAATGACTTAGGTCAGAACACAGCTTTTCAAGGTAGCCAGCGCATGTTTTGTTCTATGGCAGGATGTTCATCCTGGCACATACAGAATAACTGTACATCCTCTGTTACCTCTGTGGGGGTATTAGAAGGCTTTGGGATCAAACCCAGGAGAAGAGTAAACAGTTTTGATGTATCAGGTCAATGTTCAGAGCTGAGAGGGTTATGTGTTGCATACAATTCAACATCAAATGCGTTTTGTTGGTCAGCTGTATTTTGCTAAGGGTAACATATCTAACCATGCATGGTGTTAGTGATCAGCCCTCATTGTGCTTTGGCTCATGGGAAAAGCATTGCCCAACACTGGGTGAGAGGCACTCACCTGCAGGTAGCGATCGATGATAGCAACTGCCATGTACAGGGTCTCCTGATGGAGTCTGAATTTTATCTGTACTTGCACAAGCCAATCTATTAGTATGGCACGCATGTTCCCATTGATTTCCTGGCCGGCCAGGTATTTGGGTCTGATGGGTTGTTTTTCCTGTGTGGAAGGAATAGCATTAATAGTCACTTACCTGAAGCATTTGCAATGCCTAGCCTCTGTTGCATCTTAAGGCTTATCAAGGAGTTCAGTACAGGAATATGTACTGTTGGTACATATTGGTACACATTGGTACCATAGGTGTTGGCCACAGGGCACAAGGCTTCTTTGTTTACTAGAGATGGGCCAGAGTGATTGGTCTAACCACCAGCATCTGTTTATGTTATCAGCTCAGTTTAATCTTGAATTTCAAGGGGAAGGATCACTTATTAGTGCTTCAGGAAAATCCATAGGTGAAAGTGAATACCAGCTCTAAGCCACACCTCTAACAACAGGTTCACTGTAAGCATCAGCAAATGCCTGTTGCAGGTTGCACCTACGCCTACCAACCTCAAGATCTCTCAGATATCTGTAGATGTCCTTCACATAGTCGCTGCAAAGGTTTGGGTCAGTACCGTCTTCCGCATCTACATCTTGCACATCAAGCAAGACATCAGAAAAAGCCTGACACAGCATGTCTTCTGGTGGGGCACATCCAGATGCTTCCGTGGGAGATGGAGACTGAGGCTTCAGCTACAAGGAAATTCGGGATCAGCGTGGGCAGCAGCTCCCTCTGCAGCCCCGCACGGGCCAAGCGAAGGCTCCGGTGGGGCAAGGCTGCACCCAGCAACTGCGGGGGCCCACGACCCCTCTTTCAGGGCACCGAGTGAGGCTGTGCCCCTCGCTCAGCTGAGCCCCAGGGCCGGGGAGGGGGCACACGGCCCCAAGGAGGCTGCTGATAGTACCTGGGAGGGCTCCAGCTGGGGCTCCGGGGCTGGTGGCGGCACTTGCTCCGTGGCGGCAGCCTTCAGCATGCTCCTGGTAGTTACCCTACCCGGGGAGGTGGCCCGCACGGGCCTGGTGCCCGGCTTCCGCACGCAGCCCCTTTCCGCCGCTGCCGCCACCTTCTTGACGGCAGCCCGCGTCTTCGGCGCGGCGATGCGGTTGCCGATGTCCCCCAGGGCGGTGCGGGACCGCATGGTGGTCGACATCGCCTCCCCGCGCTTGGCGACAGGTACCAGGCTAGTCTTCCCGGCAGCATCGG